AATACGATATCCGCCATGTTTTTGAATGCTCACGTGACGCATTATTGACCGGATAGGTCAAGTCGCCAATTAACCAATCAAAATGCTGGATTGTGCCCACGTGTCTAAATTACATAGCTCATTTAAATATGTTAATGACAGTTCAGCGACCTCATGGTGAACGCAACACGGAAGAGATTTACCGATAATGTAGTGCGATCTTTTGCCTTTGATTTCCATGGGAAAACGGCATGATTTTTTTTTTAAATCAAGAAATTATTTGTTTTCGAAAGATAAATTATTCTTCAATGCTCAGTTTAACACTTTTACAGTGATAAAAGCTGGTTGAAACAATGAAGTCAGTCACCGTCTTGTTGAATTGGGGGTGCGGTTAGTAATAGGTACTTTTCAAGTTTTCAATTTTTGTTAAGAACTCTTTAACCCTGAAGCCGGAATTGGGGGTGCGGTTACTATTACGTATGCGGTTTATATTAGGACTTAACGTTACCTGAAACTCAGTCCTATGTTTGTTTTTCTTCAATACACTTATTTGGAAATAGCTATGAATGTTGAAATGAATTTTTGCTAAAAGCTTTTACTCCCTCAAAAATCAAATTTTGGGTCTGGTGAAGATGTATACTTTTGCAAAATTTATTTATTTATACCATCTACTTATGTGCATTGTCTTTCTGCTACAGTGAGCAGGTGCAAAACAAGTTTCTATTTGAATTTAATCCATAATTATAATTTATTATACTTTTATATGGTTTCTTTAGAATATATTAGCATACTGTCATGCACAGATGAATGTCAGACAAAAATTAATCCTGTTTATTACTGACTATTAGTTACTAAACTGTAATTCCCATGTTAAAAATTCACAATTTTTCAGTAAATTGTATTTTTGATATTGATAATAACCATGTTGTACTTTATTGGGTAAAATATTATCCACATTTGAATTTTTAGAAATGTCTACAATTTAGATAAATTTAGATCCATTTACCCTTCTAATTTAAGAAAATAAAATGGGGTTGCATATACATATCTATGTAGCAAGTTTGCCATGGTACAAGAACATGGCCTTATTCCTTAACAATTTTATAGGGAAAATCCCTTAATTGTGGATTAAATTGGAATAGAAGCTTGTTTTGCACCTGCTCATCTTGAAAAGATGCATTTTATGCTCATTACCAGAAGGCCTTCACTATTGATTCAGATAACCCCACATTCACTGAATAAATAGCTGCTACTTCAGTAAGAATAATTTTCTAAAGTCTGGGAAAATTGTAATATTTGATAGCAGAGGAATGCTATATAGCAAGAGTAGCTCATGACAGATGAGTCTATGGTCAAAATAAGTTGTATTTTAATGACCACTATACATTAAATGTGTTTGGTTTCAGTGCTGCTATATTTTCTCTATTAAAAGAGCATCTCCATTTGAAGCGTACACAAAATTACATTTAATTTTTACCGAATCATTATTAAAATGACACTTATTTTGACCATAGTACACTCTCATATGTGCATGGTTTCACTAAGAGCTAATACATTAGTACAGGAGTTATTTATGCTAGGAAACGACAGGTCAGTGAATATCTACAAATTAGTAAGTCTTAAACATTACTGGGGAAAACAAATGTGTTATGAAAATATACCTTCCAGGGTCCAGAAAAAAATAACCTACTTATCATGTTTTGACAAGTTGTGCATATTAAAATTTGTTGGCTCAGTGCCAGAATGGCTGTATGGGTGGCTCAGACACAATAACTAGGCCCGAATAAAGAATGTTCACCTTATTAAAACAATGTATCCTGGTTTTGTACATTATATTCCGATATATGCATGTATCTTGCGAGATGTGCATTCCTATAATATTAACATCACATTTACTGCAAAGTTTTAATGAGGAAGCAATTTGAAATCCAGTGTCTGCAGAGGCTTGGTTATTTTCAATATCAGATAAACAACCTGCCTCTACATTTGAACAACGCTTATTATTTAGTGATTATTATACTAGTGTAGGTATCATTTTGTCAGTAAAACATTTACATTGTCATTGTATGTCTGTTATGTACAAACATAGGTGCATATGATCCTTAACAATAAATGCACATCTTTATATTGATATTTATAATTGATTAAATTGGTTTCTTGCGTTTTTTTTCAGGTTGAAGGGAGAGGCAATGGAATCAAAACTGTTATTGTAAATATGTCTGAGGTTGCTAAATCTCTTGATAGACCACCAACTTGTAAGTAATAACCTGATATCTACCAATCAAATACTGGGGTGCAAAAAACGTCAAAGGGTGACTTTGATGTCATTTTGTTCTTTAAATAATTAACTTGGATTATCACTTAGCCTTGTTACTTTGAGTGGTTTTCTTTCAATTGGCCTGTGATTTCTTTAAACCATTGTCAAACACTATTATTGATACACTATATTTGTATTAATGCAGACCCAACCAAATACTTTGGCTGTGAGCTAGGAGCACAGACTACCATGGATGGCAAGAATGATCGTTTTGTGGTGAACGGTTCTCATGATCCCCAAAAGTTACAGGATATGTTAGATGGGTTTATTAAGAAGTTTGTACTCTGTCCTGAATGCGACAATCCTGAGACTTCTTTGGTGAGTGTAACAAATAAATTTATATTTAGCTTCCTAATTCACAAATGTCAAAAAAGATTATAGACTTGTTTCCAGTTAATACTGGTTTACTTGCGTCTTCAGCACATGGTGTTTGGCAAATGGCAATTTGTTCTGTATTTCAAGTCAATATGTTGAGTAAAACATTTTGAAAATCCTGCCAAATTTGATGACTAGATTTGATAATGCAAATGAGACATTGTGTTAAAACCAAATTATCCATCCAGAATTGCCAATACTAAAGGATCCTCTTTTTTTTTTTTGGACAAGGTCTCATGTTGGACATTTTAAAATTTGTCCGCGTCAGAATGCTCTAAACAATTCTAATGCAACTGAGCAAAATGCATTATAGTGGAAGGTGCTGGTGACTGATTGCGTGTTTACATTTGACACATTGATAGGCCTTTATTTGTAGAATGCATATGCTGACTCTAGTCTTACTTGATTAGGTCATTTCTGCTAAAGCCGGTACCATTGGTCAACGTTGTATTGCATGTGGATACCAAGGTCCTATTGACATGCGCCATCGCTTGACTACATACATTCTGAAGCATCCACCTGGCTCTGAAATATCTGGCTCCACTCCCAGCAAAAAGGAGAAAAGAAACAAGGGGAAAAAAGAAAAATCTGGCAAACAGAATGGTGACGCTGATCGTGATTCTCCAACTGGTTGCAACAGCCCACCCCCTCAAGAAGATGGTCAGATTGAAGTACCAGCAAAGGTAAGCTTGAACTTCCTTGTTGCAAGTGCTTCCAGTTTCAAGGCCAAATTTTTTTGAGGTACAAGATTTATAAGAATATCTGCTGTTGTTGTTGATGCCTCTGAAGTTCAAGCATTGAGTAAGTTGATCATTGGTGTTTGTATGATTCTTGTTTGCGTTCTTTGTACTTCACTTCAGTTAATAAGATTTCATTTATCTGTCTCAAAATGTTGCCATTAGACAAAATGATGTACATTTTAATTACAGGTAACCAACGATGGCTTTGATGATGATTGGTCTGTGGATACCAGTAAACAAGCAGTCGCCAGACGTATGGAAGACCTAACTGATGGTGCTAAGGGTTTGGCACTCACTGATGATCTAGAAAAGACTCAACAAGAACGTGTTAACATGTTCTATTCATACGTCAAGGTACCTAGTCTTAATACGAGCATTAGTAGTATAGAACTTTGAAGTCTGTTTTATATGGTACTGTGTGCAGTCTTGTTAGTCCCCGTTCGGACGAAGTCCGAAAACGGGGACTTGTGTTTTGACCTCCGTGTGTCCGTGCGTGTGTGCGTCCGGACCTGTATCTTAGAAATGCCTGGACCAATCACAATCAAACTTCACACATACATCATACATGATACATGATATCATACATATGCACGTCCATTTGTTTCTTGATCTGATTCAAGATGTTCGAATGTCGGCCATTTTTGTACTAAAAATCATCAAAATCAAGCATTTCCCGGCTGTTTACAGATGGATTTTGTTCAAACCTTGTATATACGTTGGACTTTATAGGACCTTGATGAACATCATTTTGTTTTACGATCTGATTCAAGATGGCCGAATGGCGGCCATTTTTGTGCTAAAAAATCATAAAAATCAAGCGTTTCTTGGCTGTTTACAGATGGATTTTGTTAGAACTTGATATATACATTAGACATTATGCGACCTTGATGCAAATAATTTTGTTTTTCAGATAACATTCAAAATTGCCGACTGGCGGCCATTTTGTTTTAATGAATGGGCTTCTAGACACATATTTCCAACTTGTTTTGACTGATTATGTTCAAATTTTAAATATTCATTATACATCATGTCATAGACAGATATATTGGTTTGACGATCCTATTCAAAATGGCCGAATGGTTGTCATTTTTGTGCTAAAAAATCATCAAATATCAAGCATTTCTGGCATTTATGGATGGATTTCGTTCAAACTTGGTACATACATTAGACATTACGAGTTCCTGATGCACGTCATTTTAATTTTTCAGATCAGACTCAAAATGGCTGTCCGGTGGCCATTTTATTTTAATGAATGGGTTTCCAGACCCATATGTCTGACTTGTTTGACTGA